AGCTAATTATCATATAAAACTGCAAGAGGGAAAGAAAAACAATGTGTGCAAAAGATAATTGCTACATACACAAAATGTCTGAGAGGACAATCATTTGATTTAAAATAAAAAATAATGAGAAAAAATATTCAAGCACTGTGGTTCAGTCCAGTTTTCAGGTCCTTTACTTGATTTTATTGCCCCCAAAATATGCTTTATGTCAAGAAATCAGGGCAGCCAATGACCAATAAAAAATTCAATTTCTTTTCCCTCAATTACTTTTTGAAAAAATTATATTATATTGAAAAAAATATTTACTTATCAACAAGGAGAACGTGGATACATAAAACCACAGTGGCTTAGGAAGCACTCAGAGCCGCTTCACTTTTTACTCTTAACAATTTTATGTTGCAGCCAAGAGCAACAACCTTTTTTTATTATTATTCTATACCGAGAACTCTATAATGACAAAGTGAAAACAATATTAAATTTTCTTTGTATTTTCCTTGCAAGTAAACACCTTAAATATCACATTTACTGTACTTAAGTATTCAGAACTTTGAATTGGCAGCAGTTACAGCCTTGAGTCTTTCGGGGTTTAAATTCCTAAGAACTCTTGCATCACATGCATTTTTGTCCACATATGTGGTACCAGGTCTTAGAAGGTTAATGCAACGACTAGATTGAGGGAATTTCTGACTATCTTTTTTTGCAAAGTCATTCAATCTCAATTAAGGTCTCTGCACATAAGATGATTTCTAAATTTCAACTCAGGCACAGGCTGGTCTAACCTAGGACACTGACAGTTATCTTTAAGTCTCTGTGGTCTTGTCTGTGTGATTTGGGTCATTGTGAAGTTGTAAGGTAAACCTCCTGCCCAGGCCAAGCTCTTGATCACCCTAAAACAGGTTTTATAAATGCTGCCTCTGTACTTTGTTTCCTTCAGCTTTCAGTTTCCTAATCTCAGCTGCTGAACCACCATACCTCCCTGTAGGGATGGCAGTGGACATAAGACATCTGTCAAATGGTTTTATGGAAAGAATGCTTATAATGGAGGTCAAACAGTTCAATCCTGATTTCATCAGTCCAGAGAATATTGCTCCTCACAGTCCAACAGTCCTTCAAGCAGCTGTCAACTGTTTGCACTGAAGAAAGACTTCATTACTCTGCCATGAAGCCCAGAGGACTACTTCAGTTCTAGTTGTCCTTCTGAAACTTAATCCCACCTCCAGAGGGTTTTTGAAGCTCAATCAGAAACACCATCAGGTTCTTGATCACCTCTCTTACTAAGACCCTTTGCCCTCAATTGCTCAGTGTGGATTCTTCTTCAACAAGGATTTGTTTTCTCTTAAAAGAATGCTTGTTGTGGCTAACAACTTACATTTAAGAATTAAGAAGGAAGGCCACTGCAGTATTTCACATTATCTGTAGCCTTCAGTTTCAGTGCACAACTGTTTTCCTCCCCTTTGGCTTTGCAGCAATTCACAATAATGCAATATTGTTGTGCAAGTGGTTGTCTGTTACAGCAGCTCATTGATGTACTGTTTTACAGTACTGATGTACTTTTTGTATTTGTTTTTTTTAACCGAACTTAACTAAATTTTGCACATTCCACCACCAGCGTTATCTACACACACAAAGGACTATCTGCACAAAGACAACCAACTGCTGGGCTTAGAGAGAAGCCCTCCATCCCGAAAGAGCTACATAAAAGAGGACAAGATTGCAAAGCAAGTGTTAAYCAAAGGCTGAAGACGAGGAATTTAAAGTGGTTTAAAATCCTTCCTTTTCACATTTAAATCATTCAGTTTGGGTCTATAAAAAGTGGAACTGTAATGCTTTGGTCTGAATTCCTCCWTGTGGTACTTTACAAGCTCCTCTTTCACCCCTTTTCTGAGATGTGTCTCAAAGCAGCTGGTTTGGAAACTGTGTCTTTAAAAGGGATCCCGATTAGTTGTAACATTAGACTTTATTTGATAAACATTTATTTTAACTGTAAAATAAAGACTGTAAAAATACTGGAGGCTGTTTCCATCCATCCATCCATCCATC